GGTGTTTGTGAGTGGAACCATCGTGGCAGCACTGTACTCTCAGTCATCTGGTCCCTGGTCCTGTTTGCGTTCACACTGTTCGAAATGTCCCTTAAGATCGAGTATCTGGGAGGCAAGAAGCGGGACCTCGTTCCCTTCATCAGCTACGCCACGCACATCTTCTTCAACATGTCCATACCTGCTCTGATTCTCCTGACCAATTTCCGCCACATGCAGATGGACCGTCGCAGGCTGCGGAGGGTTCACGGTTTCCGCTGGTGGAAGGCACTGAGCATCAGATACATCGTCAGACGCGTGCAGCACTTGGAGATGGGATATCAGCTTCCCTGTCGAGGCTTTCTGACCGTGTGTCTGGGTTGGCCTCTCTTCAATGGGATGTACAGCTTGATCTTCTATGTCACCATGAGTGGTTCACTCTGGCAAGCGAAGCTGTCTCTTGTCTTCAGTGTCGTGTGTATGATAGTATGGGGCGCCTTCTGCTACCTCGTGCTGCTGCTGAGGTTGGCTTTCCTTCAGCAGCAACGTCTGGAGCTGGGGTTTCTCTGGAAGCATGTGGGTGAGGTAGATATCTGTAGGCGACGTCTGGCCATGTACGCCGAGGATCTGGGCAGCATGAGGAGGCTTGTATCCATCTGGATCATCATGGTTGCTGCCATCTCATCCTGGGCCTTCTCCTCGCTGCTCTATTGGGAATACCTCGCCATCAGCGGTGGTGTCAAAGTCAAGCACGATTACTTTGTGGCGTTCAACATCAACATCTGGTCCACGAATACCATGTTCCTTGCTCTACCTCTGTTGGCTGTCGGCGGTGTGGATCTGAAGGGGACGTGGTCTCAGTTCAAGCAGAGCATCAGTCAGATGAGGTGCGAGACTCACGATGTCTTCTGGGACAAGATTCTTGCCTTCTGCGAGGAGCAGTCTCCGGTCACCAGGGTGAAAATGCTCACGCTGATGTTCTCTGCTTTGGGTCTGTTTCTTGGTTTGCACCTGTCTATGGAGAATCAGGATGTGTACATGCCAACTCAGGAAACTTACCTCCTAACACCACCGGATAACGCATCCTATTTTACTCACTCATAAATCTGGGTACTAATATTAAGTCACATAAGCCTTAAAGTGTCATTTTTACGCCTTGTAGAACTTTAAAGGCATACATCATTTCTTTTATTGGACAGTTTTGCAACGCGCTTGAGTAGTAACACGCGCGCTTCCCCCAACTGTTGTACTTACAGTATAACAACTTGTTTCACTCAAAAAACAACTTTTATTTTGAGAATTGCAAAAATTACTAGTCCCTCGGTGTCAGCTGATTTTGAGTATAGGCCTACCCCTTTCGCTTCCTATTCTGAGAATTACCTGTTATCCACGGAGCCAAGTTCTGTATAGCGTCTGATATGTCTAGACATGCAGATTTATGCAAGCCGCGCGCCAGCCAATCGGAGTTGACTTTACTAAATCGTGACGTCATTTCATTCCCAAATCAGGACTAAATGGTTTGATTGGTCAATTAGAATGCAGTGTTTTGCATACAACAACATCATGGTGCATATCGCGTTATCACATGATACAGAGCGCGTGACACATTTTTTTTTATCCATTGTCTATCACGCGCAACAGGTGAATGACCGAAGACCCCCGATTGGTCAAAATCTAGAGGTCCAGAGGCGGTTGTCTTGCCTAATTAATCAGCGAATCTGCTGGCATACACCATGACATTCGCCATGGTCTATTACATAGTCTATTCGCTTCCAGTCGTAGTGCAAAATGTTGCTCATCGACGGGACCCCTAATTTTGTAGCTCTGCTCTACAATAATACCATAATATAAATAACATGTCACAACAAACAATATCAGCATAATAACTTAACATCAAATCTACCACACTTCGTGTTTGACAGCTAAGCATGTGATGATAGTGAAACTGATTACTTCTGTAGTATAACGCCAATAATTGTTTTCCTTTGTGTGGCTTTTAACTATCAACATTGTTCCTGGAACATGCACAGGTCACATCGTAATCGTGACATTTGCTACATCAGTTCAGTAATATGCTAGAAAAATGTTAAGGTACTACATAATGTAGAATTGACATGAAGACTATTTTCGATATTTTCTCCTACATAGGTCTATATATATTTTAGCTTTAGTATTGCTTATCAGATGTTTCGCTCGTACCCCACCCTGCAAACAGGGTGCTGGAAAGGGCTGATGAGCTTCACAGAATCTTGTGAAGAAAGTGGGGACGGAACTCTGGGAAATTTATAATGACTTATATAAAGACATCCATTTGCAGCTGTTTAAGACCGCTGTTAGCTAATGCACGCAAATGCCATCCGAAAACTTTCCCATTGAAATGCATACATTCCATACCGGATGTGATTTTTTTCTTTGCGGACCATGTGGACAAATTTCAGCGTCGCATCGTGAATTCGAAACGGAGCCTGAGCAAATGACGGGAATTGGACATTCACGAAACAGATCAGTTTTACAGATTTTCCAACATTATTACGCTTTTCAACCAAAAAAAATAAGCATTTACGAAGGCGAATAAAGAATCAGTGAGTCGGTCTTAACGGCCGTTTAAAACTTTGCAGGGTCGTGGCCGTGATGACTTGCAGGTCACAGGTCACGCAAAATCTATCCAATCAGAGCTTAAATTCATGAGCTCTTCCCGCGTCCTGTTTGCAGGGTAGGGGGCTACGAGCGAAATAAGATGTTTCTGTTCAGTCTTCCCTTGACGAGAGACCACTCATGTGGGCCCACTACCGTAAAAATAAAAATACACATGTATGGCTTTTGCCGTCGGGGGCCAATTGCTCGCCAAGGGGGGCACGGCCCCACCAGCCCCCCCCCCCCCCGTTCTCTTGACGATGGGCAAAAAAACTGCGAAAGATGATTAAATGTTTGGGTTGCCAGGCGGCGAATTTGTTTTCCCCAAACTACTTAAGCAAATAGGGTATACGCTATGAGGTTTTGGACTTAACTTCCCTAAAAAAATTAGAAAAACATATATAAAGGAAAAACAAAAGAATTCGAACCTAATGATATTCGGATTGCATCTCCCTTTTACCAACCCCCCCCCCTCCGCAAATTAGAAAAAAATCCGAAACATTTGAAAAATGAACTGATGTACCTTTATGAACTATATCTTGATTTCTTTCATGCTTTGAATGGTTGATGTCGTCCAAGTAGGGGTGCGCATTTACCGTACGGGAACCGGGTACCCGATTAAATAACAAAAAAACACGGGTACCCGGCGAGTACCGGTCAAGAAACCCAGTCCAAAAAAATACAAATCCCGGAAGTTGCTGTTCAGATTATGCATAAAGGTCCACACGATGATAGTACTACATCGGTGGTTCAATGCAGCTCTAAACATCGAGAAAGTGTGTGTACCTTGAGCTTTAATTATAGCTTTCCTCGAGCATCATACGCGTGAAATCTGCTCTGTTTTTGCATATAGCAAGGTTTTCATTTTGAACATGCCCCATACACGACATTCATAACCTTTCTTTTTGACGGTGCGAGAAGTTACTAAAAGCAATTTGGAACCGGTTCATGGCATCAGCGGTCGGGTACTCAGGTACCTGGCTCCGAGGCACAGCCCTACGGCCAAGAGATATAATTATAACAACTAATAGACAAGCCTAATAAATTATATGCAATCAATTTAGAATTGCGTTCACAACGGGCCGGATTCAGCCAATTTATTGGCGTTCCGGAGTAATCCTGTTTTCAAACTCTTTGGGTCAAGGTGAGAATTATGTAATTTACAATATATAGTCAATGAGACAGCAAGTGAGTCAGTCGGGCGCAAAGACGACTTTACCGGGTAAGTTCCCCCCAAATGGCAGGATTATTTTCTTTATAAAGTTCTGCGTGAAGCACTATAAAAATCTAGGATATGAAAGCCCAATTAATAAGCTTTCTTTTAGTAGAAGGATCGTTCAAATCTCTCATGTGCTTTTCAAGTTACGGGGTTTTGAACACAACTGCACCATTTTTAAGTTCTGTCCACGGATCACAAAAAAAATAACACTTACTCTGTTTTTTTTGTGATCCGTGGACAGAACCTTAAAACGGTGGTTGTGTTTAAAACTCCGTAACTTGAAAATCACATGAGTGATTTGAATGATTTTTCTACTAAAAGAAAGCTTATTAAGTGGGCTTTCTTGTGCTACATTTTGATAGTAGTACATGTAGAACTTCATTAAAAAATTGGTCCTGCCATTTGGGTTTCCTTTATTTTTTACTCACCCTGTAGACTGGCCCTGTACACCAGTAAGAATTATGGGTTGTGGGACATATAATTGTTTTCTATTGTGACTTTTGTCTTAAACATTTGCATTACAACATTTGTTTAAAGCCTCCTTTATTCAGTATCATCCGAAATTGCACCAAGTAATAAAACCTAGTAAATATAACTTTTGAATTTTTTTGTCTTTCAATTCACTAAAAAGTTACAGGAATTATTATTAAATAAACAAAACATTTCGGGAAATATTGGCGTGATGAACATTAATAAGATTTTATTTTTAGCTAATAACAACATCGGTACGAAAGGGGAAGATTCCCGATTATTTACTTTCACTTCGGACACGACACCAACGCTTTCGGTTACTGCATACATACTGCTTCTTAAAGTTCCCTTTTGCGAAGTTTCAACTGCTATAATTCAGAACGCGAGAAAAAAACTGCACTAGGAAATATAATTAAATAAACAAAACATTTCGGGAACAGTATGTTGGCGTGATAATCATTAGTAAGTTTTTATTTTTAGCTAACTGCAACATCAAATGGGGAGAATTCCCAATTATTTACTTTCACTTCGGACACGACACCAACGCTTTCAGTTACTGCATACATACTGCTTCTTAAAGTTCCCTTGTGCGATGGTTTTCGGTTCGCATTCCTATACGTCAGCTCAATAACAGTTTCAATCTCTAAACTATATAAGTAGCTTGATATCCAAGTGTTCCTGCATCTTAAGGTAGCTCATCATGACGACGAAGGTTTCTGAGGCAAGCGAGTACCGCACCTTATTACTTCCCCCAAGCAAGCATGGCGGTATTCCGAGTTTCAACTGCTATTACTCGACCCCAATAGCGAGTTCCTCTCAGTCACAGACCGGAGAAACTTCTCCCAGGGTCCCCGCACGCAAAATCTGGCCCTGGTCCTTCTGGTTGCTACTGAAGTTCATCGGGCTGTACAACTACCGCCGGATTGTGGCCCAGCGGCGGTGCGACCTGTGCCGTCTGGCCGTTCTCCAGCGCCGATACCGGGAGAGGGGTGAAGAGGAGAGGAGTGGGTGGCTGTACCCGGGTGCGGTAGACGAGCAGACGGACGAAACTGAAGCAGAAAATACAGCGGAGGTACCGATGATCTGCGTGCTGGATGCTGACATCAACCCGGCGAAAGGTGGCACGGGAGCCGGAGATGCTGAGACGACCGATGGCTGCCAAGTGTGCCGTAGCATGTGGTGGGATTCAGGGGGTCTCTGTCGGCCGTACTCGGAGACAGATATCGGTAAGTGTAATTTCTTCCAATGTGAAATACAAAGTTAATTTTGTTTCGCAAAAAAATAGGTTGCCAGGGTAGCGTTTCTAGTTTCAAGGATTACAACGAAGTTGACAAATAGCATAGGCCTATCGGTAATTACACTTGATTAACACACCAAAGAACAGTTTGGACCTCGTAATTACTTGGAAACCATCGATTTATTTCTGAAAATGTGAAATACATGATTCATGTAAATTAAGACACAGCATAATGAAGAGTCATTGTGGCAATGATGCAATATCTGAACTTAGGAGGAAATCGTAGTCGATGTACAACCATGACGAAATACCATTTTTTTGTTGTCAAAGTATTATTTGTGGATACATCTTGTTAATTTCCAATAGCTTCTTTACTCGCATATGCAATGGTATGGCCAACTGAGCAGCCATAATTATGGTTGCGAACACAAAGGGTCATGCGGTTGCTAGGCAAAGCTAATCCGATACGGAGCAGTGAAATTCATGCACCCCCAAAAACATGGCATTTGGAACGTTGTGTTTCTCAAAAAAATATGCTCAGTATGATTGAAATGTTAAAATATACCAGAAGAAACAATTCTAAACATCATGTCAGTGAAAAAATCGCCGTCATCGATGCCGAAACGTCAATACTGGTTACTGGTAAAGCTGACCTTCAAATCTGGAAGAAATCGTTCGAAAACGTCCCCAAATCTATGTATTTATATCACTTTCTAGGAATTTACGGAAGTTGTTATTTCACGAGTAGTTGGACACGCACATCATATATTCCGAATTTCAGCTTAATCTGTTTTTGCTAACACTTGTGTTACATATTGAATCATCTCTAAGGAAAATGTCGGTGACGAATTTTAGCGACCAAACCCACGTGTATGGTTTTCCTATAGCACAGTAGACGCTACGGTTGACCGATTTCGGCCCGGCCACACAATGGACAATCGCATATTAGCATATTCATTAGCGTCACTCGGCGTAACTTGGCGTGGGTCTCGGTATCGACCAATGGAAGCCGGCAAAAGGGTGATATTTATATCAATTAATAACTCGTGAAGGAGGCTTTTACGCAAATGTTTACTGCACACCGTAATAGATAGGAACCTTGTCAATATTTGTGAGGCTTGAAAAGATTGACAGACATTGCCAACGCCAGTGTTACAGCTTTCAAATATGCACGCAGACAGGCCTATTTTTCCAATTTCAACGAAAAGTAAAGAACATATCACAACGATTTGAGCACATAATTGGATCATTATAAGGGAAATAAACCCTGAAAGTTGCATGAAGATACGGTCTTCCAAACGGAAGAAATTAATTTTCAAAGATTTCGCCCGCCAACGTGAACATGTGCGTGTACATGTAGTTTCATTCAAAATAAAGTGTTACGTAACCTTTAGAAATCGCCCTTCGCAACGACATGGCTGTGAGGAGGCCCGAGCATGTGCCCATGAATTTCAAGTACCTATAGGGTGTAGCTCAAAGAAGAGAAGAAAACGATATTGTTTGCTACCTCCTTGTGTGGTGTCCGGTGCCCTCTTGAGCTCCGGAGATAGAATGATAACTTCAGATACTTGTGAATATTTAATATTCTTTATATTTTCAAATATTATAAAATGCTGTCATACTGTTATGGTACTCTCAACAGGTGTTTGTGAGTGGAACCATCGTGGCAGCACTGTACTCTCAGTCATCTGGTCCCTGGTCCTGTTTGCGTTCACACTGTTCGAAATGTCCCTTAAGATCGAGTATCTGGGAGGCAAGAAGCGGGACTTCGTTCCCTTCATCAGCTATATCACGCATATCCTCTTCAACATGTCCATACCTGCTCTGATTCTCCTGACTAATTTCCGCCACATGCAGATGGACCGTCGCAGGCTGCGGAGGGTTCACGGTTTCCGCTGGTGGAAGGCACTGAGCATCAGATACATCGTCAGACGCGTGCAGCACTTGGAGTTGGGACATCAGCTTCCCTGTCGTGGCTTTCTGACCGTGTGTCTGGGTTGGCCTCTCTTCAATGGGATGTACAGCTTGATCTTCTATGTCACCATGGGTGGTTCACTCTGGCAAGCGAAGCTGTCTCTTGTCTTCTGTGTCGTGTGCATGATAGTATGGGGCACCTTCTGCTACCTCGTGCTGCTACTGAGGCTGGCTTTCCTCCAGCAGCAACGTCTGGAGCTGGGGTTTCTCTGGAAGCATGTGGGTGAGGTAGATATCTGTAGGCGACGCCTGGCCATGTACGCCGAGGATCTGGGCAGCATGAGGAGGCTTGTATCCATCTGGATCATCATGGTTGCTGCCATCTCATCCTGGGCCTTCTCCTCGCTGCTCTATTGGGAATACCTCGCCATCAGCGGTGGTGTCAAAGTCAAGCACGACTACTTTGTGGCGTTCAACATCAACATATGGTCCACGAATGCAATGTTCCTTGCTCTTCCTCTGTTGGCTGTCGGCGGTGTGGATCTGAAGGGGACGTGGTCTCAGTTCAAGCAGAGCATCAGTCAGATGAGGTGCGAGACTCACGATGCCTTCTGGGACAAGATTCTTGCCTTCTGCGAGGAGCAGTCTCCGGTCACCAAGGTGAAAATGCTCACGCTGATGTTCTCTGCTTTGGGTCTGTTTCTTGGTTTGCACCTATCTATGGAGAATCAGGATGTGTACATGCCAACTCAGGAAACTCACTTCCTAACACCACCGGATAACGCATCCTATTTTACTCACTCATAAATCTGGGTACTAATAAAGTCACATTAGCCTTAAAGTTTCATTTTTACGCCTTGTAGAACTTTAAAGGCATAGGGCTACATCATTCTTTTATTGGACAGTTTTACAACGCGTTTGAGTAGTAACACGTGCGCTTCCCCCAACTTTTGTACTTACAGTGTAACAACTTGTTTCACTCAAAAAACAACTTCTATTTTTGTGAATTGCAAAATTACTAGTCCTTCGGTGTCAGCTGATTTTGAGTATACCCCCTTCGCTTCCTATTCTGAGAATTACCCGTTATCCACGGAGCTAAGTCCTGTATAACGTCTGATATGTCTAGACATGCAGATTTATGCAAGCTGCAAAACCAATGATCTGTGAAAAAATATGATAAATTACCTGTTCGCTCAGCAGAATATAAACAGCCTTCGAATACAATTATTTTAAAGTTCATCTTTATTATCACGTCACTGACTAGTCTGGTTTCCTGTCCCCAATGTCATTCGGACTTCAAATATGGGGACATCAGGAGGCACTCTCTTGATGTATGCAAACTATTTGCATGACGTGTGATGCATAGGTCTGAATCCCGCCTCGTGAATTAAAAATCACAACGGTAATGGTTGCGCACCATCAGCCTATTGCAAAATGGGAATAGGCCGCGCCACAAATGTGCAATTTCCGAGGTGATGAGCTTCGATGTTTGCTGAATTTGAAAGTGTCTCTGGCAAATATCAATTAAGAGAGGGAAATTACTGTTCAGTATTTAAAATCCTATGCAACTGAGATGCTTCAAAGTTGCCCCCATGGAGACACTGAGGATTTTGCGTTTTTTGTGTGAGTTTGGGATAATTGTGAGTTCAATCACCGTCCATGCACAAAGCTAAGTAATCGATCCCGATATTTTTTAGGGAAGGGGGAAGGGGGAAGAGAGATGGGGGGGGGGCAGGAAATAGTCTAGTCACTGTCATAAGTATTCAAATGGATTTATAAAGGTCTTGTAGTTCTATACACCATACAGTTTTGTTGCCTTCACGTTCATTTCAGACTACGCCCGGGAAAAATTATGATAACGAAATTAAAAAAAGTTGTTTGTGTTGACAAAGCATTCAGAAGTCGGATTTACGAATTCAACTGGATGAACCAATTACGCCCTTCCATTAGGACTCTTCTGGGCTCTCGGATAACCCGGTTCACCACACCTGTTTCACTGTTCATCCATAACCCGAGCGTTGGATCTAAGTATGATATAAGGGAGGAAACGAAACAGGAACCTAAGGCTAGGCTGCCAAGATGATCCAAATGAGCCACGCACCTTTCAATACGAAGTTTCTAACCTGGATTTCGCGGACGCAACTATTTTTTTATGCAACCAAGTATAGTCAATGACTGTTATGCGCATGCGTCAGTTGGTAAGGAATTGGTCCTAGGACTTAACTTCCCTTTAAAAAAATAGACTGGCGTTGTGCATAGTGGTGTGCACGACCTGAATTCTCCATTATTTTAAAGAATTATAGACATTAAATATTTTGTATATTAATTTAGGCAAGTTTTTATCACTTTTTGAGACAATTTTTTGTAGCTTTTATATCGCAAATTGAAATATTTCAGGCCGAAATTTCTTATTAAATACCCAATTCAATCAGCCCAAAATAAATTGTGCTCCCCCCTAAAAAAATCCGACCTACCGACCCTACTTTTGAAAGACATGAGGCCTAATCGGAAGCAGAAGTATTTTTTTGGCCGGGACTAGTTGCTGTATAAAAACCATATAGGTAAACAAAATATATTTCTAATTTCTGGCATTAAATACATCAAGAACTTAAAACCTCATATTTTCCTCAAGATTTAATTACAGATAAGCAAAACTGCTCATTAATGATGTTTGCATATGTATAAAGTATACATGTACGATGTTTGTTTGTTTGTTTGTTTTATTTCCATCTACCTGCAGATATAACGACCAAAGTTATTGTAGACATGTACATGTACATGCATGTACACATGTACATGTACTCGGTTGGCTGATACTAGCAGCCATCCAGCCCGAAAACAGCCGGCACTAAAATGTCCTATACCGGGTACCTACAACTCTGGCTATACAGTTCTTGTTTTGGTTAGTACCTTATAGATCACAACTTGCGCGATGTGAAGCAAGAGTCTGGAAATAGAAGGGAAAGTACCCTTACTTTGCGTTTCATAAGCTGCAAGCAAACCAGGGGATTCCCTGATAACGTTAGTGCATTCTCTTAATTCATGGGGGGATATTTTGCAAGAGGGTGTAGTTTGCCAACCTATTTTTGTCTCAAATAGAATATTTTAAATGAGGGTTGTGACACTGGGCAACCCCAAGAGATATCGAAACAAATAGAGATGGTGGAGGCAGTCTAGTCGTTTGTATAAAACATTGAGGACTTTGGGCCATTCGTTTAGTTTCGCACTTGCACAACAGTGGCGGTTCTACGGGGGGCTGCCCCCTCCCCCAAATTTTATCTAGCCCACCCCCCCAAAGAATCCCATAAAAAAATTGCACTAGCAAAATGTAAGAATGTAACGTACATGCGAATGGGTCTCCCCTAAATAGTCTTGAAAAGGGTGCATTTTGTACACCTTTAGTTAAAATTAATGTGCATGATTGTAGGATTTTATCAGCGCTCCCCATTGAAAATATGGCACGAGCCGTTAAGTGCCTTCCGAACAGGCCAGCTTTTCTCGTGAAATGACCTGTGTGGTCTCCATTGCAGTAGATGACACCGAACACTTCGGTTTTTCTATATCAATATATAGGTGACTTAGGAAGAAAGAGGGCGGCAGTCCGAGCTGCGAATCATCAATGCAACATTGTGTGACGCCGGCGTGTTAAAAATAAATACTTTTTACCCAACAACACGAAACACGGAAGGGGATAAATGGAGCCATTCACATGAAACTTGAAACCCTGCGCGTTCTTTTCTGCTTGAACCAAATAACCAGCCTATTGCCGTTTGGCCGATCGAATGACCGACCGTCCGAAAGATCGACTGCCCAGTTCAGCTCGACTAGTCAAGCCCATAGTCTTGTTGGTTAACGAGATATTATAGCCCTAACCACAGTGTTCAGTTTTTATGGACCAATACAAGAAATGGCGCCAATTAAACTAAATGGAGTAAGATTCAGAACCAATCTAATAAAAGGAAGACAATATAGTAATTGGTGGGACATCGCTCGGCTGTATCGTCCTCAATCCTAAGCGCATTTTCGGCGTAGGAGGAGGTTCATGACATTTAAAGTTAAGGAGGTACACGTAGCGGTTTGGTTTACGCGGAGTACGGATAGCGTTGTCTCAGCACTGTGTTGACTAAACTAACTCTCGATCGTTCCTGCAAAAATGGAGTCTGTCCTGATGACATCGTTAGCGCTGTTACTAGCTGCTCTAGCCAGTTATCAAGGTAAGATACAGATGTGCCTCTCACTCGCTTGCATTTGAAGAATCAAATGGATATAAACTGACAAAAGTTCAGGAAAAAATTCCATACTGAGCCACCACTCATATCAGAGCTCCTACACAAAGCCTATGGGCCATGAAAGAACAGTATTATCAAAGAATTTTTGCACTCATTAAACAGTGTTTCTTTATCAGATTTACAACTTTTGGTACTTTTCAGGTCATATTGAAGCTATAGTCCATCATTTGTAGTTAGTGCATTTTGTTCGTTTGAAGCAACAAAAGTGTTCAAAATCTAATGAAGGATACTGAACAACTTACTTGATGAAGTTTCAGCTCAGCTTCAGCTTCATATTCCGAGAAAAACAGCATTCTAGGATCTCAATTTCAAATCAAAAGTTGCTAAATCATGTTTCGAATTGTTTTGAATCGCAGCTTTACGCGATGTTGCGCACTGATCCAACGAATTATAGCAACCGCGCGCGCCTGTACGTCGTTCCAATGCTTGTGCGCGCTGCGCCGAATAACAAAACGAACAACTAATTTAAATTTTCCTACGGTGCTTCTTAAGAAGCACCGTTGGAAATGCCTTCTTTCGTTGATTTCTTCAAAATGAGAGCTTGCCAGAAAGGATAATTTCACAGGAAGTTTAGTCCCCTTACTATCTTTCAACCAGTATGTTTTTCAACAATAATTACGCCGGTTACTTTTTTGGATAGCTGCAAATGATGGCTCGGGCTTTAAGGAATATGAGTGGTGGCCCAGTATGGATTTTTTCCAAAGTTTACACCAATTTTATACAATTCGTCCTTGCAAAATCTCAAAATTTCTAATTAAGCGGGTTTGCGTATTTGACCGTGCATAAGAAAATGTTTCTATTTTACATATTCTCTAAACCTTTACACAAATATATATCTTCACTTGCACAGCATACCAAATTTCATTCTAAGCTGTCATTTCATGAAAAAGAGCCATGGATAATTTTTCACACACGCTATTCAGCTTTGAAAACGTGCTAATTGCTAATTGTTGAAACTACAGACAGGGTTGTCTTTGGAGACTGGATTGCTAGTTTAAACAGTCACTTTAAAGGAGCACTTTTGGGAGAATGCGACTTATGCTACCTTAGTTTCGCCTCCTAATGCCTATTGTTCAAAGTGTATTATATGTCGCGGGAACTCAAGTCTGTTAGGACCACCTGTAGGGTGGAGATGATCTTCTCAAAACAAGGCTCTTCCCTTGACGAGAGACCACTCAGGGCGACCTCAAGACTAAGGATGCAGGTCCGTTTTGGTGGAACTTTACCGCCGACTGTAAATGATTGCTAATTACTCTGTTAACTTCAACGGACACCTTTAACAAAGACACCCAAAACAGAGTTTTCGTTGACCTCAAGCAAACAATGATAAAATATTCAACAATAATCAATAAATGTACAGTAATAGGAACTTGGGTGGTTGTTTTATTACCAAGGTCCTTAATTATTGAGGAGAAGATCCGAGCCTATACTGCTTGCAGCAGCAATGCTCGACGGCATAAGCACTGCACAACCATGCATCACAATGACGACAATACGCCCCAGCATCAGCAATGTACA